ATGGGGGGGTGTCTCCAGGGCTGGGCTGGCCCCACGGCCAGTGGGCCTCAGACTCAGGCCGTTAAGTGGCCGCATGCAGCAGCAGCTGGAAGCCCAGGGGCTGAGAACACCATTTTTTTCCGGAACGAGAGCAATGCCGGAGTTTTAGGTCGGAGGCTTGCAGGGTGCCCAAGAGCCTGCTCTCGTTGCTTCGCCGGGGCCAGCAGCGGTCTGTAGGTTGGACAGAGAAGAGTTACTCGCTCGAGTAACCAAGTGGTAGCGGGGTGGGATTGCGTGTGTCTGGCTGCATATGGCGGGCGCATGCGTAGATCCAGCGCATTTCGTGTTTGCTCCGGACTGCAGGCAATTATCTCCTGAGCAAACATCTGAACAGCTAAATTGTCAAGGAAATACGTCCGACATTTGGATGGTGTCCTGAGAAATCAATAGGATGTATTAAAAAAAAAAAAAAAAAAAAAAAAAAACAAAAAAAAAAAAAAAAATGGGGACTTTATACACTTCTAAGAAACAAGCATTTTTGATTAACTATTGTGTACGCCTGTCGTGGAATACTTTTTCTTCCTGCTTCTTTTTGTGTGTGTGCAGGTGCTAGGTTTGCATTCTAAATGTGGTTCATCGTAGCGGAGCAGTTTTCCAATAGCCTCTAAATGGAATCATTAATGCATTGTGCTTTTCAGCCGTCCCGCTTGGGGTGGTTTCTGCATTAATTACCATTTTTATCCCACAGCTACGTTACCCTGGTTTGTCCACATTCACTGACCATGTGAAATTAGACGCAGGAGTTCTTGGGTGTGCTGTTTGCTGGGTGCTTAAAGGTTCGGGAAGCAGGGTTAGCGTGAGGGGTTAGCGTGAGGGGCGGAGCAGGGGGCGTTTGTCGCTGTGCCAGGTCCTTCCCTCCCCCGGCTGATCCTTAGCGGTGTTTTTGGAGACCCTTTCAGTCTGGGCTGTTCCTCTGAATCTAGGCCAGACAATTAATGGCTTCGTATGGCAAAATTTACTGTGTCCCTAGCCTGGTGAAATGAGTTTTGTGGGTTTCTGTTGGCTTCTGGCACAGGCAGGTGGTTCCTTTCTGAGTAACCTGCTGCAGCGGTGTGAAAGCCGCAGCCTGGGCGTGGGGCACGGCTGCCTGGTGCCCTGGCTGCCAGGGACCGGGTCCTGAGCAGCGGCACGGCTGTAGGCAAGGGGCGAGGGACCGGGTAGAGCGCTTCATTCTCCAGCATCGTCAACCCTAGAGTGCTTCTGTACTGCTAAGTGCTTGAAGTCTGCCCAGTGATGAGTGACAGTACTTGATGCTTGTTCCAGGCTTCATAGTTCTGTGTCTTGGTTCTAGTTTTGCTTCAAAAACAGCTATTCTGTCCTGCAAACTATTTTGCAATCTCCGTTTCCTTGTGAATAAAAAGAAAAGAGGAAGTTCCTTTAACGTATTCTCAGTGTAGAGGGAAAAATGCGGTTCTGTCAGGTCAGTAAGTTTCTGTAAATCGTCTTGACCTGTACTTTGCTGTCGTAAGGGCTTACACCTCTGCTCGTAGTTGCTCATCGGAATTATCCCTGTTGAGGTTACTAATCACACGACTGAAAACATACACCTGAAAACTAAATAGCTGTTTCTTCATTTGCTGCTTTTATCTGATTTTTAAAGGGTTGCCCCTGCAATTTCTGTGTTAGATTTGTTTAAGACGGAGTAAAGTTGATTGAGTTGTTAGCAGGGTTAATAACTGGTTGTGACTTTCTTGCGCAGAAGTGAGTTCAGAAAGTCTTGAATTGATCCAAGACTTCCATTTAGAGAGCAACCTATAGCGGCAATCAAGCGCTGGGGAGCTAATAGGTAATGTACACATTTGAGCACAAGCTGCAGTAATAGGAATTTATAAATGTAGGGCTGCCCACAAATTACAGCCTGCAGGCTGATGGCTGCTAGGAGGTTATTGCATCTACAGAGTAACCGTGACTCAAATGGGAGTCTCAGAGGATCTTGAATGCCGACATACCCTACGTACTGGGGTACACTGGGTCTGCTGGTGGGCATTCCTCCTTACCAGGGACATCTGCTTGGGTGATTTCTTTTATGCAGCACCCTAAGAGGGTTGTTCTGCCTGTGGAAGAAGATGGAATTGGGAGTCTGCCGCGTGTATTCTCAGCAGCTGGAGGGAGGTGAGCTGCTGCTGGAGGAAAGCACACGCTGCCCGCGGTACAGGACATCGTCTCCAGGCACTTCCGATGCTGAACGATCCCCGCGGTGGGGCCTGCTGCGACGGTGCGCGAGGAGGGCAGCAGGTGGTCGGTTCTGGGTTTGGGGTCGCTGAGCAAGGAAGCCATGGAGTCGCATCAGCGTGACCTGGTGCAGCGCTTGTCCCCCAGCTGCACGGGGGTAGGAGATGTGCTGTGGCACAGCTGTCTGTTCACGTCACCTCCCCATGCTCCCGTCCTGCGGGGAAAAAACCCGTGCTTTAGTTACGTCTCCTGTTTGGCAAGTGGAGTAGGACTGCCTCCTCTGCCCATTCCTGCCCGTAAAACCTTTTGAGACTTTTCAACATTTTGGACAGGGAAAAATGTCATTTCCAGCTCTATGATTACACATACGTATTGTCTGGTTTCCAGTAGCCTTTGAATGACCATTCATTTTCCACAGGTATGAAATAGCGGGTGTTGAACTTCCTTGGCTGCTCTGCCGCTTGTCTGGGCTCCCATCTTGATGAGTCTCACCTAGAAAACAATGTGTGCACAAGTTGTTGTTACAGACTCCTCCTGACTCCCAGTGGGGCAAAATTCTTCGCAATAATAGGTTTCGCATGTGGCCCGGTACCTCTGCGGTATCCTTGGGACAGCATTGTTCAGAGGAAGCCTTGCGTGTGTTTGAATAGCGCTGGGGGTGCCAGGAGGAAGAGC